ATGCTACAGGGGGACCCCTCTATCCGGACCGAAACGTGGACTTTGTTCCGGCCTGCGCGGGGAAGGTCACCTACCTGGGGCTGGGGGTTGATGGCGTTGGTGTCGAGCGAGTGCAGGTCCACGGTGTGGATCGGCTCCATCTGGTGGGTGGACTTCCTGCGCTGTTGTCGGTGGCTGCGGCAGACCTTTGCAATGTGGCCCTGTTTGTTGCAGACCCGGAAGACGGCATTGCGGAAGCGGCAGTTCCGGCGTTCGTGCGTCTCTCCGCAGCTGGCGCATGTTGGGGCTGGCTCCGGTGTATTCGCTGGTGGGGACCCTCGTGAGCGATGTGGTTGCGAGGGTCTGCGCCGGACTTGTAGGACCTCGTCCTCCTCGGAGTCGGCCGACTCCGACACGGGTTGCGTGCGGTGGACCTGATGTCCGCTGTGGCCTGGATGCGCGTTTTCGAACGCCGCCACATCCTTTAGGGCCCAGGCCAGCGTGAGGTCGTCCTCTCTGATCAGGCGCCGGCGTAGTTTGGCCTCTCGAAGGCCCACCAGGAATTGGGTCAGCAATGTATCTTTCAAGTTTGGAAAAGCACATTGCACGGCAGCCTTCCGAAGGCTGGCGAGGAAGTCCGCCGCTTTCTCCCCTGGCGCCTGAATCTTAGCGCAAAAGTCCATGCGTGCCGCGAACCTGGTGGGCTTTGGGGCCAGATGATCCGTGAGGGCCTTGATAAGGTCATCGAAACTCTCCCCCTCCACCTCCTTGGGTGATATCAGGTTCTGTAAGAGAAGAAGAGTGTCCATCCCACACAGGCATATGAGATGGGACCTCTTCATCCCAGCATCGGTGACCTGCAAGCATGCGAGGTAGTTCTTGAGTATCATCACCCACGTGGTCCACCTTCCCGGGTGCGATAAGTCGAAGGGGGCGATGCCCTCGTGCGAGGTCCTGGTGGAGACGGCTACGGGGGCTGATAACGCAGAGGTGGTGGAGGAGGTAGTGGCGGCGTTTGGCTCCGACAACTTTGCACGGCTATGTTAGGTGGCCCGAGGCGAGACGCGGGTTGCCGAGGCGAGGCAGAACGGGCGCGGCTAGGCGAGACGAGGCGTTGCTGGGCGAGGCGAGATCGGCGAGGTGAGGAGACAAGACGAGTTGGCGGGGCTGCCGAGGCGAGGCGTTGCTGGGTGGGGCGAGGTCGTCGAGGCGAGCGGAGCGAGGCGCGATGCGGTTGAGCGGTGATCTAGCGAGCGGCGGCGGCTACGATCTTGATCGGGCTCGGTGCGTGCTTGATCTCCTCCGGGTCTGTTCAGGAAGGGTAGAATCCCATCCTCGTCGCCAGTGAAAAGTACTCGGAAACGTTGAGTGATTCAGCAAAGAGTACTTTATTAGATCAGAACAAGACGAAAAGCCCCGGCACGCAGGCCGGTATATATGCCCAGAAACCCACCACCAAAACACACCCACTAGTCACCCTATTGGCTATTTACAGTGGCCGTAGACTCTCGGCCGCGGACCTGGCCCTCTGGTTGGTGCGGGCTAGGATCCGCTCCGCTATTGTTCTTCAGGGATGAAGCTTTTGGCTCTGTGTGCGACCGCATGGTCCAACGGTCGCACACGTGGTCATGGTGGATACATTACATTTACATTTCAAAAGTAATTCCAATAGTTTGATTGCTTACATGCTAACTGAATCACAATAATCTGAGTGGATGTCCTACATTGGGGGGGGGGTGTTTCTGTAATTGGGTTGAGTTTGGACAACCTTGCTTACCTTTCCGAAAGGTGCATTTTTGCTTTAATCAAGCAAAGACTTCTAGATTCTGAGATGCAAGAACTTAGAAGTCTTGCCTCTGGTAGATGTTCCCCTTTGTGGTGGGGGATGTCTACTAATTGTGTTTTGGCTGAGTACTTCTCTAGCTTGACTTCCCCTGAACATCGGAGGGCATTTATGTTAGCACTTTTAATGCTCTTCCTTCTGCTGTACTGTACGGGAGGTTTTAAAAAATTCCATACTCCTCTAGGCTTTGTTCTTGTGGTCCAGGGGGAGATAGAAAGTACTGAACATGTTCTCCTGCATTCTATATTTTACTGTGATATTCATGCCATATATCTAGAACCTTTGCTACAAATTCGTGAGGGTCAATCTGATGTTTGCAAGACGGTTTTTCTACTATCTTCCCATAACTCTGAGATCACTGATTTGGTGGCTAAATTTCTATGTTGTGCCATTAAGAGGAGAGGAATACAAGAACTCGTGGGCACTCCATGAAACTGCTGAGCGGTCGGGTTAGAATGGATAAAAGGAAGTACTTCTTCAACCAAAGAGTGATTGACACATGGAATTCACTGCCACAGGAAGTGGTGGCGGCTACAAGCATGGATGGCTTCAAAAGGGAATTAGATAAGCATTTGGAGCAGAGGTCCATCAGTGGCTATTAGCCACAAGGTATAGATAGGGCTCTGGGGTAAGTAATGCTCTTTCTTCTTGGTGCTTGGGGGGGGTCAACAGTGGGAGGGCTTCTAATGTCCTGGCCCCACTGGTGGACCTCCTGATGGCACTGGTATTTCTGGCCACTGTGTGACACAGAGTGTTGGACTGGATGGGCCTTTGGCCTGATCCAACATTGGCATCTCTTATGTTCTTATGTAAACAAACTGGGAAAATCCACATCAAGCATTCTCACGAGATTTCATTATAAGAAGATAGAAAAGAATATCAAAGACAGAGAAGATGGAGAAGTTGCAGATGATTAAAGTCATATCGGTTGATGTAAATGGGCTTAATGGGCCACAAAAAAGAAGTAAAATATTTCCTCAATTACACAAGTTCAATACAGACATAACATGTATTCAAGAAACTCACATAAAAAAGGTGAAAAAGACTTAACTCAGAAAAAATTATAAAGGTTGTTCACAGATGCAGACAAAAACAAAAAGAAGAAAGGAGTAGCAACCTACGTAAAAGAATATTTGCAACCCAAATTAGAGTTTGAATTAGAAGATGGAAGGGGATTAGCAATCTCAATTGTAAAACAGGAAAAAAGTATCTTCGTACTAAATATTTATGTACCCAATCTGAACTATGCCCTTTTTTACATACAAGAAAAATTGCTAGAAGTAGCTTATGAAGAGATTTGTATAGTAGGGAATTTTAATTCAGTGTATGACCCAAAAATTGATAGGAAATCCCACAAAACAAAAAGCCCAAAAGTAAGCAAAACCTTACCAAAAACATTCCTTCATTTAGCGGAAGAGTTCTCTTTGATAGATGTTGTTGTTGTTGTTCAGTCGCGCAGTCGAGTCCGACTCTTTGCGACCCCATGGACCAGCTCCCGCCAGACCCTCCTGTCTTCCGCTGTCCTCTGAAGTTGGCTCAGTTTCATGTTCGTTGCATCGATGACACTGTCTAACCGTTTCATCCTTTGCCGTCCCCGTCTTCTTTGACCTTCCATCTTTCCCAGCATCAGGGTCTTCTCCAGTGAGTGCTCCCTTCTCATTTGGTGGCCAAAGTATTTGAGCTTCAGTTTCATTATCTGGCCATCCAGGGAACAGTCAGGGTTGATTTCTTTTAGGATTGACTGATTTGATCTTCTTGCAGTCCAAGGGACTCTCAAGAGTCTTCTCCAGCACCATAGTTGAAATTGATAGATGTATGGAGAACTAAAAATATCGACAAGAAGGAATTTACTTTCTTCTCAGCCCGTCACAATACGTGGTCTAGGATTGATATGGTATGGTGTCGACCAACTTCATCAAAATTGTAGAAGAGATACAAATATTACCACGCACACTTGCGGACCATAATCCAATATTATTAACTCTAAAAGCCAGGAGTAGGAAGTCAAGATGGACAATGAATATGGACATCTTAAAGGATAAAGAGGTAGTAAAGGTAAAGGTAAAGGTTCCCTTGCTCGAAAGCCAGTCGAATCCGACTCTAGGGTTGCGGTGCTCATCTCCGTTTCAAAGCCGAAGAGCCAGCGCTGTCCGAAGACGTTTCCGTGGTCATGTGGCCGGCATGACTAAACACCAAAGCGCACGGAACGCTGTTACCTTCCCACCGAAGTGGTACCTATTTATCTACTTGCAATTTCTTGCTTTCGAACTGCTAGGTTGGCAGGAGCTGGAACTAGAGACAGGAGCTCACCCTGTCTTGCGGCACCCGGGTCTTGAACTGCTGAACTACTGACCTTCCACAGCCTGCAGTTCAGCGTCTTAACAATAATACAAGAGTTTTTTAGGAACCGCCACCTCCGGGTGAGTGGGCAAGGAGGTGCTGGGGCTCGCGGACGGGCAGGCAGCCGAGCTGCATCCTGCCAGCAGCAGCTGCGCATCAGGCTGGGCACGGGAAGCACGTCTCGGGCACTAGGGCAGGCGGGGGGCGCAGGATCCGCGCAGAAACTTCTGGCCTGTCGCAGGAGGAGTTGTAGAGAGGGCGGCCACGAAGGCAACCACCCTTGCTTCACCATGGCGTGACTGCCCCCCCTCACCCCAGACAGAGAGAAGGGAAAGAAGAAGCAGAAGCGGCTTCCCAGGGAGCGTCCCATCCGCTGCCACCGTCGCCTTCTCTCCTCCCTTCCCGAGCCATGCCGAGCTGGGTCGGATCATCCTTAGCGAGCGCTGCCTGGCCATGGCTGAGCAAGCCGTTGTCTGCAGCAGCACGGAGGCGAAGGGAGCAGGTGAGGGCGCCGGGTGGGAAATCAAATGGAGGGGAGGGACGGAGGAGAGCCACGGCTTTTTGTCTGGGGGAGGGAAGGGTGGAAGGCGCCCAGCCTGTGCCACAGCCTGACTCTCCTCAGAAGCCCACCCCCCCAGATGGCTTTCTCACCCTTCCAATCAGCCGGCTCTCGGTTAAAAAGTTAAGTTTTAACTTTAAAACATGCTTAAAAACATTAGCACTCTTGCAATATATTGTTCATTTAACTGACAGCCCTTGCTCTGAATTATTGCATCAAAATGTCTGTGCTGTTGCAACCTTGAGTATACTGTTCTGTGAGCTGCAAAGAGAACACACTGGTCATAGCGAACACCCTTTTCCAACATCCGAAGAGGCAACTCTACACATGGACATCACCAGATGGGCAGCACCGAAATCAGATTGACTATATAATTTGCAGTCAAAGATGGAGAAGCTCTATCCAGTCAGTAAAAACAAGACCTGGAGCTGACTGTGGCTCAGATCATGAGCTACTCATTGCAAAATTCAGACTTAAACTGAAGAAAATTGGGAAAACCACTAGGCCATTCAGGTTTGACCTAGATCGCATCC